AGGATGGTCTCCAGTCCCTGGGGCTCAACCTCCCGGCGTAGGGCGGGTGCTGGCAGGGTGCGAGGCGCAGCTGGCTGGGGCCGCTCTGGGCCGGCCTCGTCGGAAAAATGCAAAACTTTCCTTGGAGCCTGCGCAGGGAGGGAGGCGCTGAGGCAGGCGGCAGGAGGTGGGGGGAGAGGGTCTGCTGTGTGGGGGCCCAGAACGAACAGGCTGCCTGTTCCAGGGACAGGACGCGGCACACACACCCTGCCAAGCTGGAGACAAGAGGAAGTTCGGGTGGGGGGAGGATTGGAAAGAAGATGTTCCCTCAGCTCTGGATGCTCACTCGGAGCCCCCCCCCAACCAGACACCTCTGCCTCCCACGGGGCCCCCCACGCCAGTGCTCAGGCCCCCATCTCAGGCCTCTCAGCAGCGCATGCGCCCGCCGCCGACGGGGTTCCTGCCGCCCTGCCCCCACTCTGCCCTGGGCTCCCAGGCGTCAGTCTCTCGGAGGCCGGCCTGGCTGCCGCAGGTGCGTCAGGCAGGTGTGGCCGAGGGACCCCGCCTCTCACTTGCTGGCTAAAGGGCCCGGGACAGGGCCCCCCACCCCTGAGAACTTGCGTGAAAGCAGGGCGAGCATGTCTCCTTGAGAAAGGAACCGGGGCCCTGTCTCTCCCGCTCTTCTGGCGTCTCCATCTCTCTGCCCCTCCGCCCCACCGGTCCTTCCTTCCTCTTTGCCCTGGGGCCCAATCTCACCTCCACGACGCCGTGCCCCATGCCCTGGCCCTGTCTCTGCCTCTCCAGGCTTCCTCTGTGGCCCTGCCTCCCCAGGGCCCAGCCCCCCCGCCCCCCGCCCCCCCCCCCCCCCCGCAGGAGGTGCCCAGAGGGGGCAGAGGGGGAGAGGTGAGCCCAGGCCCTGGGGCCAGCTGCTCTGCCAGGGCCTCTGCTCAGCCCACATCCCTGGGGCCTGTGCAGCAGCCCCCCAAGGCAGCCATCCCCGGCCCCTGGGCTGCCTCCAAAGACACAGCCCCTCCCGAGGAGATGCTGGGGAAGGAGAGCTGGGCCTGCAGAGGGCTCGGGGGCAATCCGGGTGGGCCTCGTCCTTCCCCTCCAGCCCCACTGGTTGGGGGGCAGTGGAGTGAGGCCATGTGACCCAGGAGGGCCCCACGGGGTGGCAGGCAGGGACCATGGGCCGAGGCTGGGCAGGGAGGGCCAGGTGAAGAGCGGGTGGACCCCAGCTGCCCGGCTTCTACCCCACAAGGACAGGGTCACGGGGCTGGTACAGCGGCGGGGCCCTGGTATGGGGCGGGGGGGGGGGGCTCATCAGCTGGTGCTCTGCTCCCCCCACGGAGCCTGCGCTCCCACCCCGGGGGCTAAGTGCTGCTAACCACTGACTAATGCGGGCGATTTCCCGGTGCAGACAGGGGGAGTCTGGAAAGTCCCAGGGCTGAGTCCATAGGCACATGCAGCCTGACGGGCCGGGATGAGCTTTAGCCCCCAGCACACCCGGGGAGCCAGGCAGTGGGACAGGGAGCCTGCACTAAGGGGCCCCAAAGGCAGGTGTGAGCCCTGCAAGAAAGGACTGGGTCACAAAGCAGCCAGAGGGAGGCAGGACCTGCGGAGGGGGCCTGGGGCCCTGTTTCGGGTGTGGTGGGGGTGTGGCTCCCTGAGGCCGTGCATTTGGGAGGGAGACCTCATCTCCTCTCCAAATAGGCATCTTAGCCTCACGGACCAGCACCCGGGGTCTGGGAGCCCGGAACCCTAGCGGCAGAAGATTGGAACCCCAAAGGGACAGAACGGGGTGGGGCTGGGGGGGTTGCTGCCTGCAGACCTCCCCCTGTGGTCACTCTGGCCTGCCCTCCCTGCCAACAGAGCCCCCTCCTTCAAAGGCAGTCCAAGGAGCAGCTGACCAGCTTGGCTCTAAGGGGGGGTGGCAATCCCCCAGGCCTCCCCCCTGCACAGCTTCCCCTCCCTCTCCCCACCCTGCAGCCCTGAGCTGCCCTGCTCTGGGTGAGGCTAGGGGCTGGAGGCCGCACTCTGTACCTTCACCCCTGCTTGTGGAGAAAGGGGGGTGGCAGAGCAGGGCGGGGCCGATGCCCCCATCCTGGCTGGTGGGGAGCCAGCCTGACCTCTTCTCCGGAGGCAGCAAAAGAACGGAGCCCGAGGCTCCGGTGCGGGGGTGTGCTGAGGGCTTCTGGGGCGATAATTGGGCAGCAATTAAGTGTTCCCATGCCAAGGCTGTCGCCTGTCACCTGTGACGGCCAGCACTGTGCAGCCCCCGCGCAGGTCCTGCCAGGTCTCCCCGTGCCCGCCAGCACCCCCCTCCGCTGGACTGTGCTTCCTCGTGCCCGCAGCAGGCTGCTCTGTCCCTGGGAGGGGGGGCACCCAGGGCTTGGAGTCTGAGATCCTCTCCCCACCCTGGGCCCTCCACAAAGGGGATGCTTGCCCAGCCCCCAGCCCCTCTAGCGCTTCGTTGCTTTTCTGGGTCTGGTCAACCCCTCCGGCCCTCTAGGTCCCAGCTGGGCTCCCCGCTCCAGGAAGCCCTGCCCGACGGCTGCCGGCTTGGGTCGGGTGGAGTGGGGGCTGGAGGTCACTGTGGGCCTGAGACCCAGAGAACTGTGCCCTGGCCCAGGCCACCCAGCTGGTCAGGGGACCTGGGCCTCAGTGTCATCCTCAGGTGTGACATGGTCTTTGTAAGCCACTGGTCATTCACGTGCTGGCTCTCTGGCACTCCCACTGCTTGCACACGCATGCACACGCATGCACACACATGCACACACATGTGCACGTGAGTGTGGTCCCTGCCCAGCTGGCTTATTAGGTGTCTTCCCTGACAACGGCCCTGAGACACAAGCCCGAGCTCACCCCAGACGTGGACACAGACTCAGAGCTACAGGCAGGCCCCGTGGTGACCAGCCAGTCACACCTGTGGGCCTGGCCACGCTCCCGGCCACAAAGACATCGCACACACGGGCACAGGCAGGTTCCCAGGAACGCAGACTGGGCTGGGCAGCTCTGGGATTCCTGTTCTCGCAGCTTCTCTGCCTGGCTCCCCCTTCCTACTCCACGCTGCCCCTCCACCCTCCCTTTCTGCCCACCCACTCGCCTTTAATTAGAAATGCCAGGAGAGCGATTCTGGGCAAGTTTTTGCCAGAAAGACATTTCCCCCCAACTAGGGGTGGAAGCTCAGAGGGGGAAAGAGACAGATTGGCTCTGGGGTAGGGAGGAGGGTTTCCAGGAGAGCAGGGAGAAGGGGCCTGGTGGAGGGGCAGGGAGTGGGGATTCCAGAGAGTGTGTGAGTCAGACAGAGTGGGGCTGGACAGGGATCGGGGGACAGGTGGGGACTATGAGTGTGTCTAGGGGATGGGTGGGGGATATGAGTGTGTCTGGGGGATGGGTAGGTGGGGTATGAGTGTGTCTGGGGGATGGGTGGGTGGGGTATGAGTGTGTCTGGGGGATGGGTGGGGGGTATGAGAGGAGGCCATGAGTGTGCAGTGTGTTTCTGAGAGAGGGAGTGGGAAACTGACAGCAGGGGCTAGGGGGGCTTGACTCACTGGTTGTGTGTCTGCCTCTGGCTTTGGGCAGCATGCATTACCTGTGCCCGCATAACATCAGAGGACCTGGAACCCCTAAGCATCCAACCTGGGGTAACCCAGAAAGGATGTCCCTCCCCCACCACTGTTGCCAGGGAGGCAGAAGGGGCCTCCCTCCCGAGGGAATCTCAGCTTCCGGAGCCCCATTCCTTATATGGTGTTCTGCTCTTCTCTGCCTCTCCTGACTGCATAAGGCTGCCAGCACCCCTTCCGTCGGCTACCGCCTCCTCCTTCTCCTTCCTCCCCCTCCTCCCCTCCTCCTCCCTCCCTCTCCTCCTCCTTCCTTCCCTTCCTCCCTTCCTTCTCCTCCCTCCCTCTCCCCCTCCCTCCCCCTCCTCCTTCCGCCCCCTCCTCCCCTCCTCCTCCCTCCCCTTCTCCTCCTTCCTTCCCCTCCTCCCCTTCTCCTCCCTCCCCCTCCTCCCCTCCTCCTCCTTCTCTGTCCTTCCCCTCCTTCCTTCCCCCTCCTCCCCCCAACCCTCTTCCATCCTCTCCGAAGTCTTGGAGCTACTGACCAGGTTCCCTCGTGGCCTGGAAGGTTCAGGTAGCAGGACCCCTTCATCTCCTCCACATCCGCAGGGAGCAGCTTCCAGATTTCTCTGGAGGTACTGCATGGAGAAGTTCTGGCCCTCACCACAGGCGTGGGAGTGGGGGCACCGGGCAGTCCTGTCCAGCCACTGCCACACTGGTGTCATACATCCACACACGCAGGAGGGAGGACCAGCCCCGCGCGCCCAGACTTGAGAGCCCCCAGGACAGGGGTAGGCAGGAGCTAGAGGCCACACCTGGGAAAGCACACTTGGGGACTTGGGGACACTTGGGCGTGCTTGCACTCGCCCGGCACAGGAAAGCTCCTTGAAGCCTTCAGCTCCAGGGAGGGAGGGTATGGATGGCTGTCGGGGTGGTCGCCAGGGCTCCTCCGTGGCTGGACATCCGGCCACGCCGGACCAGGCAGGGGCGGGGGCGGGGGCAGTGAGGCCCTGAGAGAGCGGAGTCCAGCACCACCCCGCCCCCTAGTACGGAGGGAGACTGGAGAGGAGGGGGCCCACCGGAGACCCTGGGGGAGGTAGGGGCTTCCTCCTAACCTTTGGGTGGGTGGGGGCAGCTCACGACCCGCTCCAGGCCCCCGCGGGCTCACACCTGCGCCGCCCCGCCGGTCGCGGGCAGGGGGGTGTCGCTGGGTCCCGGCACCTTCCCTCGCCCCGCAGGCTCAATGAGCCGGGGAGGGGGCGTCGGGAGCCCGCAGGCGGATTAGTCACCCGGGCCGCTGGCGCGTGCAGGGGGTGGGTCCTCCCCCGGCGCCGGGCGCGCGGGCGGGCGCGGGGGGCGGGGCGCGCGGGGCGGGGCGCCCGGCCGGGACCAATGGGAGCGGGGGCTCGGCGAGGGGCCGCCCACGGCCGCGCGGCCGCATAAAGAGCCGGCGGCGGCTGCAGGCTGCAGAGCTCGGCGCCGCGGCTCTCCGCTCCTCGCCGCTCCTCCGCGCTCTTCCGCGCTCTGGCGCCGCCGCTGCCGCCGCTGGACCGAAGGGACCGTCCTGGCTCCACCGCACGGCCGGTCCACGAGGACTTTGCCGCCTGCCGCCTCTCGCCAGTCCGATCGCCGCGGCCACCTGCGCACGGATGGAGCTCGACCACATGACGAGCGGCGGCCTCCACGCCTACCCCGGGCCGCGGGGCGGGCCGGTGGCCAAGCCCAACGTGATCCTGCAGATCGGTAAGTGCCGGGCCGAGATGCTGGAGCACGTGCGGAGGACCCACCGACACCTGCTCACCGAGGTGTCCAAGCAGGTGGAGCGGGAGCTGAAGGGGCTGCACAGGTCGGTGGGGAAGCTGGAGAGCAACCTGGACGGCTACGTGCCCACCGGCGACTCGCAGCGCTGGAAGAAGTCCATCAAGGCCTGCTTGTGTCGCTGCCAGGAGACCATCGCCAACCTGGAGCGCTGGGTCAAGCGGGAGATGCATGTGTGGCGGGAGGTCTTCTACCGGCTGGAGAAGTGGGCCGACCGCCTGGAGTCCATGGGCGGCAAGTACCCGGTGGGCAACGACCCGGCTCGCCACACCGTCTCCGTGGGCGTCGGGGGTCCGGAGGGCTACTGCCAGGAGGCGGATGCCTACGACTACACCGTCAGCCCCTACGCCATCACCCCGCCGCCTGCCACCGGCGAGCTGCCCGGGCAGGAGCCCGTGGACGCCCAGCAGTATCCGCCCTGGGGGCCCGGTGAGGACGGGCAGCCCAGCCCCGGTGTGGACACGCAGATTTTCGAGGATCCGAGGGAGTTCCTCAGCCACCTGGAGGAGTACCTGCGACAGGTGGGCGGCTCCGAGGAGTACTGGCTGTCGCAAATCCAGAACCACATGAACGGGCCGGCCAAGAAGTGGTGGGAGTTCAAGCAGGGCTCTGTGAAGAATTGGGTGGAGTTCAAGAAAGAGTTCCTGCAGTACAGCGAGGGCACACTGTCCCGGGAGGCCATCCAGCGGGAGCTGGACCTGCCGCAGAAGCAGGGGGAGCCACTGGACCAGTTCCTGTGGCGCAAGCGGGACCTGTACCAGACGCTCTATGTGGACGCGGAGGAGGAGGAGATCATCCAGTACGTGGTGGGCACCCTGCAGCCCAAGTTCAAGCGCTTCTTGCGCCATCCACTGCCCAAGACCCTGGAGCAGCTCATCCAGAGGGGCATGGAAGTGCAGGATGGCCTGGAGCAGGCGGCCGAGCCCGTGGGCCCCCGCCTCCCCACCGAGGACGAGGCCGAGGCCGAGGCCGAGGCGCTCACGCCAGCCCTCACCAACGAGTCTGTAACCAGTGACCGGACCCAGCCCGAATAGAGGCCAGCCCGGGCCCCAGCCTGCCCACCACACCCCGCCTGTGGCCTTTGCCAACCAGGACTGTCGAGCTGGGCTGAGTCCTGCACAGCGGAGCCCCTCATCCTCACCTGGCTGGGCACCCAACCTCAGCCTCCCAGCCTGACTCACACAGACACATGTCATCCAGCTGTGGGCAGTATCCCCCAAACAGCGAAGGGCCCCTGCCCCGTCACCCTCCTTCTGTCTGTCTTTTCCGGTCTCTGACCCCATCCTGCACACTCTCTGGCCACCCCAGGACCTCCCAGCATCGGTATTCTGCTCAACCCCCAGGGCCCCCTGGGCACTCAGAAATCAATGTCCAGATGGCCCAGGCCAGTGAACCCCGAGCCCAAGGGACACCCCAGAGCAGAAGCTAAGACAGCAGCAGCACCACAGGAACCTTGGCTTTGGGGCGCCGCCTTCCCCTGGCAGTTGCTGTGCAGCCGGCTGGCGCTCTTGCGCTGCCCAGGGCAGCCGGCCAGCCGCAGGCAGCGAGGCTCCCTCCTGCTGCCGAAAGCCAGAGCCTCCGGAGCGACCGACCGCTGCGGCGGCAGCCCCGCGACGGCCGCAGCAGACCTGGCGTCCGGGTGCCTCCTGGCTCCTCAGGTGAGCCCCGGCCCCAAGGCACCCCCGCCAGGGGGCACTGTGGGGGAGGGAGGGCCCCGGGGCCAGGTCAGCCCCAGCAGGTTAGCTGCAGGGATGGGTTGGGGGCGGGGGGGGGCTGCAGCGGGGAGTTGTGGGGAAGGAATCGGGGAGAAGGGCCGGGCGGGGCGGCGGGGCGGTGGGACGGCGGAGCCTGCTCTCACACGACCCCGTGCTCTCTCTCTCCTCAGCACCAGTGATCCACCCCAGCCTGGAAAAGGATCGCTGGGCTGGATGACTCACCCGCAGCCGGGGGAGGGTCTCACGGGGCCTGAGTCCTCAAACTCAGCTGAGGAGCCAGGAGAGTGACGACAGGTACAGCCCGCTCTCTCCACTGAGACCCTGTCCCTGCTCCCCCCACCGCAGGATCCCAGGCCCTGCGCCCCCCAACACAGTGCTCTGGGCAAGCTGAGAGGCAGCCCAGCATGGGGGCTTGGCCCTGGGGGAGCAGCCCCATAGTGTCCATCCTGTACCCCTCCTGTGCAGCCCCTCCCAGCCTGTGGCCTGTCTCTGACCACCCCCCCACCCCGTCTTTCTTTCAGGTCTCAAGGCTCCCACAGAGCTTTCGCTGCGGCGCCTGGCCTGCCCCTCCCTCTCCTCCTGCAAGCTGCCCACACAAGGAGACGCTGAGGTCCGCAGAGTTGCTGCAGAGAGGGTGGGCCCGGCAGAGAGCTGGTGATGAAGACGGGCCAGCGTGAGGGCCAGGGCCTGCCACTAGGCCTGCCCCGCTGACCACCAGCCTGCCTGCCCCCACGGCCGCTGTGGCTGGAGGTGGGGTCTGCTACCTCGGGCCCTGTCTCACTCCAGCCCAGGAACCCTTGCCCACGGCACGGCGGCCATCCTCTCTTGCCAGAGCTTTCCAGGAGCTCTGAGGCTGAGGCCCCAGCCCCAGCCCTGCCCGCAGCCCCAGGCCCAGCCCCAGGAGACCCCAGAAGCCTTGCACCTGGGGCTTAGGCAGGCTCTCTGCCAGGCCCCGCCATAGCCGGGGCCCAGACCCCCACCTCCCCCGGCACCAATGCCCCAGTGCTGGCCGGCCACTCGTGTCTGCAGCCCGAGCAGGCCCTGGCTGGGGGTTCTCCTTTCTGCCTGTCCAGTGGGGGTTCCCACATTCAGGGGACTGATGGCTGCAGGTGACTCTGTCAGCCCCTCCATCCTGCACCCCTGCCAGCCCCCCCCCAGATTTTATTTTTGCACATAAGCCATAACCCATACTCATAGGCTGGCATAGGCTGCAGGGAGGCCCTGGGGTCCTCAAGAGGGTGTGACCAGTCCCCCCCCCCCCCCGCCCCGGTCCCCAGCAGGTCAGGCCTTCAGTGTCGGGCCAGGCTGTGTGTACCCCTGTCACCTTACCTGAAGACAGACTCTTTTGTAAGATTTTGTTAATAAAACAGTGGAACTTCTCGGTGTGTGCAGTTGTTTCTCGTTGGCTGGCATGGAGCTCTGGAGGGAGGTGGCTCAGGGTGGTGGTCCCCAGAAGCCACACGAGTGCAGACTGAAGGGTCTTTGGGGATCTAGGGAGCCCCATTACCCCGCAGGCCAGTTGGTCAGGGTCCTGGATCCTCAGGACAGTAGGGCCTTAGGGGCTCCGCTCATGGAAGCCCATGCCCTGTGGCCTCCACGCCTGAGGCAGCCAGTTGTGGGAGAGACTGGTGGAGACCTCCTTCTGGCTAAGCTGAGGACTGCCCCCCAGCATCCTCTGCCCACTGCCCGCTGGGGCGTGGGGGTGTCCTGAGAGCTCTCCTCCGCCAGCTTCAGCCCACATGGAGGCCCAGGGCTTCTGCCTCGGGGCCTCCTCCAGCATCAAGCCCTGGGGACCCAGGCAAGGCAAGATCCCTGCTGGGAGGTGACCCTGACAAATCCTGGGTCGTAAACGTGTTGTCTCCAAGCCTGTTTCCTCATCTGCCAAATGAGCAAACCATCACTAATATAAATCCACGTGTGGGTTCAAGAACCAAGAGACAAGGGCCATCTCGTGCCCTGTGGGTGGCATGGAACCTCACCAGCTTCTGTGAGGTCCCAAGGCCCCTGAGAGAGAGGGAGAGCTAGACTGGAGAGGGCTCAAACCCTTGGACCAGGCAGTGATCAAGGAGAAGCAGGCCCAGTGGAGGCGGACAGTGAGCCATTGGTTACGAGGAGTTCGCTTGCTCAGTTGTGGGTCAGGCTGGACCTCCGGGACTCAGGCCGAGCTGCTGTGGGATTTCTTCTTTCCCGGCGATGGCTCAGCTCTGCAATTAGGGCCCGTCAACTGATTGAGCCAGGCCCACCCAGATGACCTCGGTGATCATCCTTATGTAAAGTCAACTGATTATGGGCTTCAGTCACACCTGCAAAAGGCCTTCCAAGCAATACCTGCATTAGGGTTTGATTGAATACCGGGGGACGGTTCCCTAGCGAGACTGACATGTAAAACTGACCACCACAAATGCCAGTCATGGGCAGATGCTGGTCACCTACCCAGCACAGGTCCTCCCCTCCAGAGGGGCTGCTCTGCTCCAGGGGGTGCCAGGCCAGGGGGCGAAGGCAGGTGTGGGTAGTGCGAGCATAGCCAGCCTGGGGAGGGCTGCCCCTGCTAGAGCCTTGCTGCAGGGTCCTGTGGAGGACGGAGCCCTGCCGGGCCACAGGGAGGAGACCTGCGGAGGCAGGAAGTGAGTGGGGGCAGAAAGAACCACCTGCCACGAGGAAATGTCGTCACCTCTGCGGGGGGGGGGGGGGGGGGCTGGCAGCCCTGAGCAAGGCCCTCCATGGTGAAAAGGTGGCCTCTTCCCTACTCTTCCCTTTTATTTCTTTTAAATAACGGAAGCTCTGACAAGAATGGGGAAGGGAAATTGACAGGAACAGAAGGCCAGGGCCGCACAGCGACGTCTGAGAGGTAGTGATCTCTCCCAGAGAAACACTCCAGCTCACATCAAAAGCTGGAAGCTGTAGGTGCTTTTTCTTTTTAATAATAAAAAGCTACTCCCTGTAATTGGATGATTGTGAGACAGGCTATCTGAGCACTTCATGTAATTGGAGATGCAGCTCCGAATCTCTGTGTCCTCAGAGAAGAGGCCGAGGCCAAGGGAGGAGCAGGGCAGGGTGGAGAGGGCTGCAGGGGCCCAGACCCAGCCACGTCCAGGAACGGAACAGGATGTTCCCAGAACAGGCCTCACTCACTCCTCCCCGTCTTGCCTGCCCATTATCACAGACTACCCAGCCTCCCCTCTCAACAAGCGCGTGGGGAAACTGAGGCACAGGGCGGGGCCGTGCTTGCCTCCCTTTGGGGATCAGAGCTGGAACTGGAGACAGGGTGTCCAGAAGCCCTGCGGGGGCTCAGCCTACAGATCCAGCTTGCTGCGGGGCTTCTGAGCCATGTGGATGTGGGCTCAAGCCCCAGGGCTGCCTTTTCTCTAAGGTCAGGTCTGCACATAGAGCTGGCATGAGGGTCAGAGGGCAGGGGGCTCAGGCTGGGGAGGTGCTCAGAGTGTTACTCCCTATTGTCCCTTCAAGGCTCAGCTGAGACATAGGTCTTGCATGTCCCCTTAATGTGCTGTTGGGGGTGAGCACTTAGCCCTGGGGGGTTAAGCAAGCCGCAAGGGCCAGCCTGAGAAACGGGCTTGGGAAAGTGTATGAGTCAGAGTGAGGCCAAGCTGCTGTAACAAAGAGGCCCAACAAACTGGCTTCTTTGCAGTCCCATGAGCATGTGGCTGGTGCCTGGGCTCCTGGGCTTATTCAGACCTTGCAAGTGTGCTGGCACATCCAGGCCACTGTCCTTGTCTGCTGGCTGAAGCCAGAGGAAGGGCAAAGACACAGGAAGGGCATACCACAGGCTTTAGGCTCAGAGAAGCCCAGGGAAGAGGCCCATCACTGCCACCCACACCAGCCCCAGGGCATGCAGTCACATGGCCACATCTAGCTGCATGTAGGAGGGAGGGAGAGAGGATTTTGGTGGACAGCCAGAGGGCAGAAGACCACACGGAAAATTGTTTGGGGTAATGTGAACTTCGCCTTGCCCCAGGGAGGTCTGGCCTCTGTCCTCAGCTGCTGGGAGGTCACCGCTGATCCCGGGGACATCCTGGGTCCAGTGTCCTTGTTCTCCTGAGGCTCTGGGCCACACGGTATCAGCTCGCCCTCTGGAGGGGCTGGAGACTGAGGTCAGCCATGCGGGCAGCCGACCAGGTCTGCGTGACGGGAACCGGATAAAGACCTTGGACACCGAGGCTGGGGGCTTCCCCGGCTGGCAACACTCATATGTGCTGTCACTTTGGGGTCCGCGACTCCACGGGGAGAGGGCAGTAGGGACCCTCCTGGGCCCTGCTCTGGGCACCCCTTCCCCTGGCTGATGGCAGTCTGGGTCCTTTCCCTGTGATAAACCGTAACTGTGAGCATGACAGCTCTCGTGAGTTCTGGGAGCCCTTCGAGAGAATCAGCGGACCCGACGGGGTCTCGGGGACCCCAGACTCTGCAGTTGGCATCAGAAGTGAGGGTGCTCTTGAGAATTGTTCCCAGGTGTTATAACTTCACAGATGATGTGACTCTTTCTAGTCCATAAGGGACTTTTAACTTCAAGGGGATTTAGGATTAACATAGAAATTTAACAGAATCAAACTCAAAATGTTATCATTTTTGTCAAGAATTTATATGTGCTTCATATTTCAAGCATTTTCCTACTGGAGAGAAGTGGGCTGATAGGAATAAGGGAGAAGCTCATGATGTTGACATGAAGTGTCTCATGGGGTCGCTGGTGTAGACTTGTGACTTTAGGTAGAAACCATATAATTTTATGTATAGTACTGGAACATTGGAAAGAGCTTAAGAATCACCATATTTTTTAGCCTAATTTATTGAGTTTATAATCTTTTTTTTAAAGATTTTATTTATTTATTTGACAGAGAGCGACACAGCGAGAGAGGGAACACAAGCAGGGGGAGTGGGAGAGGGAGAAGCAGGCTTCCCGCTGAGCAGGGAGCCCGATGCGGGGATCGATCCCAGGACCCTGGGATCATGACCTGAGCCGAAGGCAGACACTTAATGACTGAGCCACCCAGGCGCCCCGAGTTTATAATAATTTTTAAGTATTTAGAAATTTCACAAAGTTTGAAAAAATAGATTCCCCGTAGAATATGTTGGATTTTCTGGATGTAGTTTAAAAGGTTCGAAGACATCAATGGGACCAAACATTAAAGTCCCCTTCAACGGGCTACACACGTGTAGCACTGCTAAGTGTCCCTTAGAATCAGAAAATTTGGTTCGGGATTTGTAATCTGGAGCTCCAGCACTCATTTAAAGACCAAAGTGACTTCTGAGCCCTTGGTCCCGGGTGCAGCCCCCAGGACGGCTGAGCTCCCTCCAAGGGGCCTTCAATCCCTGTGCTCAGAGCTGCGTGTCCCTTGAGTGACTGGGGAACACCATCCAGCTGACCTCTCCTGTCCCCGTGAGGCTCCCTGTGCTTTTCCTCTCCTCCCTGCGGTGCTGCCCTGCACCCCCGAGCACCCCCTTCCCATGCTGTGGTGCTCCCAGCCAGCGCCCTACTTTCCATTAGCCTGTTTCTTCCAGGACGGAGGCCAGGCAGACCCAGCCCCCCAGCTGGTGGCTCTGGAGGCCCCACATGGTCCTCACTTCCCACCGCAATGGGGCCTCGGAGGCTGCCCGGCTGCCTGTACGGATGGGGGACTGAGGTCCCAGGGGGCTGGGAGTCACCAGGTGAACCAAATAGCCTCCTTCGAGTCTCGGTCCACCTCAGGCCAAACCTCTCACCAGAGTGAAAGCAGGACATCAGGCAGCAAGAGTTCCTTCCTGGGCCCCATCCTCTGTCTTCCCACCTCTCCTGCCCTGTGTAGCCCCACGCAGGCGCCCCTGCTCACCAAACCCTCCCCCTCTTAGCCAGTCCAAACCCGGCCTACCCAGATGGCCCGGTAACCCCAGTGCTGACCCCGGGCCGCCTGGGGGCAGCTTGGCCTGAGGGTGCCGCTGAAGCCGGACCACAGGGTGGGGGTGGCCTTTCCAGAAGCAAAGCCACTGGCAGGGTGGGGTTTGCTCCCCTGAAGCCCCTCAGGACCCCCCACCACTGCTGGCCAGTCCCGCTCTTTTCTCTGCACCCCCGAGTCCACCAACCAGTGGACGCTGCGTGAGGCTACACCCCGGCTCCCCAGGCCTGACCCCCCCCCCTCACGGTGACCCTCAAGTCCCAGCTGGGGGCCTAGGAAGGGCCGGGATGCCCCCACCCAGCCCCTGCCCCAGGGCAAGCTGGCTTAGGTCCCGTGTTTCTTCTGTAACTGCCCCAGGGCCGGCCACTAACCCTGTGCCAGCCTCAGCCACCCCGCCCCAGAGCTACCACCCCCCCAGCCGCCACCCTGCCCTGGAGTCGCCACCCCCCCAGCCGCCACCCCCCCCCCAGCCGCCACGCACCTGCCTCTCCCTAGAGGCCGGCACCCTCCGTGGATTTCCGACTCAGTGTGCGCTCTTCCCCCAGGGTGTGGTCTGTGATGACATTTCCTTTCTTATGTTCTGTTTCTCCCAGAATTTCAGATGGCTCTTCGCTCGCTCTGACTGCTCACAGGCACCGCTCACTCCTGCCCTCTGAGATGCTTCCTCCCACAGCCCCACTGCGTCTGCTTTTCTGTCTCGTTTGTGCTGATTTGTTTTCCGGAGACCCTCATCCTGGAATACAAAGGCCTTTAAGAAACCAAACAGCTCATGAGGAAGGCCCAGCTCCCCAGTGTCTCCCGCTGCCTCTGCAGAGAGCCCCAGTTCCAGACCCACCCCCTGTCCTGGCCACCACCCCACAGTGCTACCGGGGCATGCCATGCCGTCGCCCACACCCCCCTTTTGCAGACCTCCCTGTCCCCCTCCTTCTACCCCTGCCCTTCTGCCCCTACCTCTGCCTCCTTCTCTCTCTCCAGCATCCTCTGGCCCCTCCCGTCCTGCCAGCCACTGTGTCCTTCCAGAATCCCTTAGAAGCAAAACTTCCTCCCCTGTTCTCTCCCATTGGCCCCTGCCCCCTGCCAGCTCTCCCCCGCTCTCTCCCGCCGCCCACCTCTGTCCACCTGGAACTGCTCCAGAATGCCTCCTCCCTCCGACCTGCCTCTTTGCAGGAGTTCTGGACCTTGGGCACAGGCCCCCCACCGAGTGACCTCTGAGCACAGCCCCCTTGGCTCAGCCCTGGAAAGGGCTGGGGGTGCCAGGTGTCCCTCTCTGAGTCCCTTCCCCTGTCCATGGCCGGGTCCTGAGCTTGGCTCTGACCGTGGTGGCTGCTAGCTGCCAGCCACAGTCCCGTCTCTGAGCCGCGGCCCCATTCAGAGCAGGACAAGCCTTGGCTCAGGGTGCCCAAAGGACGGGGGTCTCGCTCAGAGGCTGTTCCCCAAGGACAGCAGCAACCTGAGGAGGGAGTGAGCGCCTCACTGCAAGAGTAACAAAATGGCTCTAGAAGGAGGGTCAGAGCAGGGACCTCTGAGGCCATCTGGGCTGCCACCTCACTTGCCTCTCTCGATGTCTCAGCGGGGCCACAGAGCTGCCCATGAGACTCCAGTCTCCACCCCATCTGCCGGACTTCTATTCATCCCCCAAAGCCCTGCTCTCTCTTGTCCTCCCCTCCATGGCCACCACCCTTCAGCCCACCCTTGGTGTCACCTCTGTGGGCCCTCCCTGGCCCTCCCTGTCCTGGCACCTGCTTGGCGCTCTCTGAAGACAGAGACCGTCGTGGCAGCCCTGTGCCCCCCTCTTTGCCCTTCTGTGCACTGGGGGCTGCCCCTCCGCGGCGGGCCCTGGGCTCCTGAGCTCCTGCTGCTAGCTCGTCTGGCGTCTTCCATGGCAGAAGTCTGGGCTGTGAAGGAGGCTATTTTTAGCCTCTGTTATCCTCGTAATTATCTTGTCTCTGTTTTGCCCTGTGCTTGGTACAATTCTGCCAGAAAATGTCAGTCTGTCTTCACACTCAGGGGAAATGGGGACGAGGGGTACCCCCACCATGGAGTGGGTGGGCGCTGGCTGTGCCGCTCAGAGAACCTCTTCTGATTCCACCCCCGGGGGGGGGCTCTGCTCTCCCACTACAGGAGACACCGGCCCCACCTAACAGAGGCCAGGAGGGCCTTAGAGGAAATTCTGACACCTCCCAGCCAGAGGGACCCGGGGGTGGGACGGTGGCTGGGGTTGCAGACTGAGGCCTCGCCTGTGCCCCGACGGCCCTCAAAACAGGGCCAGGCCTGGATGAGGTGCAGTGAAACTGTTTGTGCAAAGAGTTCTCGTCCGTGAGGATTCGGACCTGGCCTCGGGGAGCAGACGCTGCTTTCCTCTGATCCCTGGATGAAGCAAGAGCTTGGGGTCCACTCAGACCCCCACATCTCCTGGAGCCTGTCCTTGGCAGGCAGGAACTCTGTGTATTCCTGCTGTTCCTCTAAGCCTCCGAGGAGACCCTAACTGGGTTTGCTCCTTTGAGCGGGTAAATCACTGCTGTGCAGGACTCTCCCTCAAGAACAGATGGGACGTGGCCATGCGCACCACTGCCTGGGGCTGGGATCCTAAGTCCTTCTTTGGGCTGGAGACAGGCACCTGTGGGAACAGAGGCACAGAAGGAGGCTTCTCGGTGGGAGGTGCAGGAGGGGACGCGGCCTGGGGTCTGGGGCCTCTAGACCTCAACGCCTCCCCTGATGTCAGCTGGCACCTCTGGCTCCCCCTGGCCGGCCTTCAAGGCCATCCCTCCACGCTTATTTCTCCCCAGATGCTCATGTTTTGAAGTTGTTGTTCTTTATTTAATGTCTCTCTGCATTTCCACTCTTCTCCCCTGTCCCGTCATCCAGGTGTTGCTATGGGAACCAGGCTGTGGTACCCATGGCATCCGTGATGGATGAGTTTCAGGACCACCTGTGTGTGTGTGCTTGTGTGGTAGGGGGTGTGCACATGTGCGCGTGTGTGGTGGGGGAGGTGTGGACGGGGGCTGAGAAGGGCCCCTGGGGTGCGTGGCCTGGAGTAGGAGGAGCAGGGGGGAGGTGGTTGTGGGAAGCCCACACCGCGCGCTACCCCAGCCTCCCCAGCAGGGGTGTGACCCCATCACTGCCAAGGCCCTGCTCCTCATGGCCGCCCCTCCTGGGTGCCTCCGTCCCGGCCGGGCACCAGGGCCCAGGACGGCCCGCAGGGGCCTCACTTCAGCCCTGGCCCCCCGCGGCCCCGTTCCTTCCGCCTGTCCTTCGACTCCAGGGCCTCCCTCCTTTCCCTCAGGTGGCTTGCGGAGCTGACTTAGTGCTGGCCTCAGCCCCCCAGCAGTGCGGGGTGCCCGGAGCTGCAGGCCCTGGGGGCTCACTGGGCACAAGGCCTTGCTGTCCCCTGGGCTTTCTCCTCCCCTTTGGCGTCCCCATCTCAGCAGCAGTAGGGCCACCCCGGCATCTCCAGAGCCCTCCGCTGCTCTTGGGACCCAGACCACGGAGGACGGAGGGGAGCCGAGGGGAGAGGGGCCCCCCGGGGCGGGGATGGGCTGAGGCACTGGGCTCGTGCTGCAGTGTTGACAGTGCCTGGGAGCTCCGAGCTGGAGTCCCGATGAGCCCCATGGGTGGGAGAGGAGAGCCGAGGAGAGCCGCAGAGGCCGGCCTTCTGCCAGCCTCCAAGCTCCTCCCTTCCCGCAGTTCCGCCTCGGCGCCCCCACCAGGCCAGCCAGTGGGGCTGAGTGCTTGGGGATGGGATGCAGGCTCAGGGGGGTCTGACCCACATCGAGCCCTGGGCCCCAGCAGAGCAGGCTCCCAGAGCAGGGCTGTGCCTCCCCAGCACGTCCTGCTCCCCCGCTCTGACACCTCCTGGTCCTATAGATCACACCTGCCTGAAGACTCTCTCTCCCTCCCCTTCTGGAGTGCTTCCTGCGCAGGGTCAGGCTTTGGATATATTGGGTTAAAAAAATGCATAATTAAAATGAATTTCTCTTGATTTTTTATTGTGGCTACTAGAAAATTATAAGTCACATTTGTGGCTCATGCTCTCTCTGTTGCCATGTGCAGTGTACCTCACCCAGGGGAGCGAGGCCCCCGGCAGGGGACAGCCCCGGGGAGGGCAGGGGCTGGTTTGCTGAGCCTGACCGCTGCGTGAGGGCGCCGAGTCCGGGGGGTTGCTGTCAGCCAGCCAGGGAGCCCCAGGGACCCCAGAGGGCTCCACGCTCTGGAAGAGGCTCGACCCCATCTCTGAGAATTCGGCAGGACGTGCTGCCACCCTTCCGGGAGGCCTCTGAGCCACTTCCCAGCTATGCTAGCGGCTGCTCGTGGAAACCCATCACAGTGCAGAGCCCGCTGGTCCGCAGAACACACGGAGTGTCGAGCATGGGCGACACCCTGTCTGTTTCAAGCTTGGTCTCAGCATTTCTTCTGCCCGGTATCTGTGTGCTTCTCTGAGTCTCCCCCGACCCGGTCCTAACAGCTTCCTGGGTTTGACCAAGGCTTGGGGCAGGAGGTAAGTGCCAGCTTTGACCCCGGTGCATTTCATCTTGGGCAGAAAACCATGGTTCGTGCTTGCCCTCGCCCACAGCGACCCTGGCCCCAACAAGCCTTCCTGGAACCCCAACCTCAGGCACCTCAGGCCTCCCTGGAGGGGTTTCCCCGGGGGATTGTCAACCTGTGAGGCTCCTGCTCTCCCCCTTCTCTCCTCCTGGACCCACCTACAGCCTCCACCTTGGCCCTATTTTCTGCTGCTCTCACAGCTCCGTGACTGTGGGCTCCCCAAGGCAGGTGGGGGGGGCACGGGTATGTTGGAATGACCCCCCCACCCTTACCTCCTGATCCTCACTGTCACCCGCCCCAAGACTCCAGCATGCCCCCTCCCTCTCGCCCCCAAGTCTCAAGCTCTGGTCCTTGCCTCAGCTCCGAGATGAGTCAGGCCTTCCCAGCCTGTTCATGCAACCCCTCCTGCTGTGTCCCTTCTTCCCCATTGTGCAGGGCCCCCTCCTGTGGTGCCCCCTCCCACAGCACCCCTGTCCTCCAGAGTGCCCCCCTTCTGACGACCCCTACTCTTTCCCTTCCCTCTCTTCAAAAGGCCCCTGCTTCCATTTGTCTTGTCCCAGGACAGCTCCCCACCACACACACACACACACACACACACACACACACATACACACACGCGCGCGCGCGCGCGCGCGCGCACTGCTACCTTGTGTTACATCATGTTACACTGTATTCTCCTTCCTTGGCTCAGTTCTTCGTCTTCTTGGGGTTCATTTCATGAAGCTAGCACTACCCTGGCACCAAAACTAGACAGACACAGTATAAGAAAGAAAGAGAGGAAGGAAGGAAGGAAGGAAGGAAGGAAGGAAGGAAGGAAGGAAGGAAGGGGAACACAGATTAATGTCTGTCACAAATATACGTGTGAAAATCCCTAAGAAAATAATAACAAATAGAATTCAGCAGTGTATAAAAATAATCATATACTGTGACCAAGAGGCTTGTTCCTGGGATGCGAGGCTGGCTCAGTATTTGTCAATTAACCAATGAGGGTGTCTGGGTGGCTGAGTTGGTTAAGCATCCGACCCTTGATTTTGGCTCAGGTCATGCATAATCTCAGGGTCATGAGATCGAGCCTCGAATCAGGCTCCATGCTCAGCAGGGAGTTTGCTTGAGGGTTCTCTCTTCCTCTCCCTCTGCCCCTCTCCCCCTCTAAAAAAAAAGAAAGAAAAAAGAAAATCAAACAATGTAATTCACCATATTAACAGGCTAAAGAAAATAAATCACAGGATCATATCACTTGATGCTGAAAAGATAGTTGAGAAAATGTAACACTCAGGTTATGATAAAAACTCAGAAAAATAGGAACAGAGGGGAGCTCTTTCAACCTGATAAAGAGAGTCTACAGGAAACTTATACCCCATATCATACCAGTGGTAAAAGACCAAACGTTTTCCTCCTAAGATCAGGAATACTAGAAGTTCTAGCCACTGAAATAAGGCAAGAAAAATACATAAAAGACATACACACTGAAAGGGAGAAATAACCCTTCCTTCCTTCCTTCCTTCCTTCCTTCCTTCCTTCCTTCCTTCCTTCCTTCCTTCCTTCCTTCCTTCCTCTCTTTCTTTCTTATACTGTGTCTGTCTAGTTTTGGTGCCAGGGTAGTGCTAGCTTCATGAAATGAACCCCGAGAAGAGGAAGAACTGAGCCAAGGAAAGAGAATACAATGTAACACAATGTAACACAAACAACACCGTCCAATTTATTTATTCGACAGGGAGAGAGGGAGCGCGCACACAAGTAGGCAGAGTGGCAGGCAGAGGGAGAGGGAGAAGCAGGCTCGGCCCGATGCTGAGGACCCTGGGACCATGACCTGAGCTGAATGAAGGCAGACACCCAACCGACTGAGCCAGCCAGGTGCCCCGAGCTGGTCCTTTGAAGGTGCCTGCTGATAGGTGGGGATAATTTCAGCCTTGGCTGGACGGGTGGCCAAGGACAGAGTGGAAGAATCGTCAAGTGACTTTAAAACTCTGGGGGGTGGAGGGAAATACCCATATCCTCCCCCACCATGGCTCCCCCACGCTCCCTTCCCACAGCTGTCCCCTCACGCTGTCGACCAAGGTGGTCCTTGAGGGAGAAACAACCCCTTTGTGGTCAGAGCTCCTACAGGCGGGGACTCGTGGGTTGCTCGCGATAGGGCGACACAATATTACTGCCCCCACATGGTGTTAGCGACCGTGGTGCCCCTGTGTTGGCATCCGGGATAGCCACGTGGTTGAGGTGGGGAGAAGCTAGTGACGGGCTCCCGGAGCCCCGGGCATCTGTCCCCAGGGCCCACAGAGAGCCCCACGTGTGGTGGTCTCCTGTCATCTGCATCATCGTTGTCCCTGAGTGCCACTGGCATCTCTGTGGGGGCTGGGGGTCCTGAGGTGACTTCAGGGGCTCACCGTCAAGTCGGGGGACAGACCCACGCTGGCAAACCCAGTGCGAAGGGGGTGTCCTAGCAGTGACGGGAGCACGGTGCCCATGGGGCCGGGGACAACAGGGCCAGCCAGTGAGGTGGGAAGGCGGGCCTCCAAGGCGTCGCCTCGAGTAGCATTGTCTCCCTCTACAGATCTGCCAGCTGCCTGCTCAGCTTCCCCACTGAAGCCCTGCTTTTGACTGAAGTGGCCACGCGCTATCCCCAGAGGCCCTCTCCAGAACCTCGAGTCATGTGGCTCATTTCTTGCCAACTCAGAGTAAGTCCCTGGGTGGGGCCGACAGGAAACACTTGTTTTCAGCTGACACGGAACTGGTCACCCCTTTTGCCACCGCAATGTGACCTTTTTATTTGGTGATGTGGTGGTTGGAGGCAAAGCAGCCATCTTGGAGACAAGAGGGAAGAAAAAAAAAATCCCATATTAAGAGGGCAGGAGGAGACAGGATCCTTGGTGGGGCATGGAGTTTCCAAACTAGCGCCGGGCTGCCTGCTCTGGACTTCTGATAGGAGAGGCGGATCCACTTATTTGAGCCACTACTGTTGGGCTGGGGTTAACTTCAGCTGACTGCAGTTCTAACTGGGGCAGGCACAGTTGGTGCCCCCTGCCATCCTGCTCAGCCCACCTCTGATCCCTGCTATCGTGGCCGGCTGCACCTTGGCTGGCCGCTTTCAAGCTTCCCTCCTTCTTCCTCGCTCCAGGCTACCTCCAAAGGGCAGGGCTGGCCTGGAGCTGTGGCCGGGAGGTGCAGAGCTCTCCGGGCCCCCAGACTCAGCCCGCAGCTGGCTATGCCCCTCAGAGGGGCCCAGGCCCGCCCCCCCCGCAAGAAGATGGCTAGCCGCTGCCCTGCGGCCGGGGGCAGGCCTAGCTCCCAGTCCCGGCTCTGACATGTGGGCAGGGGGCACTGGGGAAGGGCAGGGCAGGGCTGAGGCTGGTCAGGCTGAGAGGGTGGGGCCGCCGGGGCCCGCCTGACACAGCTGGGCATTGCTGGGGTTGGTGGGGACCCCGAGGGAGGAGGCAGCGGGGGAGGCAGGGAGGTCTTGGTGAGGCTGTTCTCCCAAGCCAGGTCCTGAGCCGGTTGCCGGCCTGCACACGCCCGCTCACCGCTGCTCCCGCCGGGCTACTCACTCACTCATTCATTCAGCACGCACTCATGGAGCACCACGGCGCTGCTAGAAAACTAGGACAAAGTCTGTGTTACTCCAGGCTTCTCGAAATCTCCTGTGAGTGAGAGAACGCTGAATGGGGCCAGACTGCACAGGAGGACGCTGCAGCCAGTGGGCAAAGAAATCATCGTGGGGGCACCGCCCCGAGCTGCCGCCGCAAAGTCTTCCGAGAGGCCGGCCGCTGGGCTCAGTGCCCGGCGCGCCTTCGTTCCCCGGCTCTTTCGCGTGCTCGCTCCACTCGCTGGAGCTGCGTCCTTCGGCCTGAAATTCCTCCCTCCCGGGGCCCTTCCAGCCCTGCTCCCCGGCTTCCTCCGATTTCGGTCCCAGCTACCATTTCCCTGAGCACCCAATCTGAGGACAGAGTCTGGCCCGCAGGGCCCGGGCCCCTCCCTGCCACTGGCCCTACCTGGGGCACCCTGAGGATCTGCACCCCACTGCTCTCGGGCTGCCTCACATTTCTGCCGTCTCTTACTGCTGTTCCTGCCCCCGCGCCATTAGCAGCCTTTTACAAGGAGATGCTCTGCTAATCTGCATCACAACCCTAGGCAGCAACAGCTACTTTACAGGAAACCGAGGCCCAGAGCGGCCCAGTAATCAGCCCAAGGCCACACAGCATGTGGAGGAGTCCCAGATCTGAGCCGGGCTCTGAGCAGGAGGGGTCCTGTGGGGTTTGGCCACAGTCGGGCTGACCACGGGAGGAGCAAGCCGTGGCCCAGGTGGCTTGGCCACGGGCCCCTTGAAGTCTCCCACGCCCCTGGACCTCCCCAGCCTCCCCCTCCCTGGCCCCTCTGGCCCCAGTGGACCCTGGAGAATCAGGGTGGAGGAGCCGGGGGCAGCTGGGGCCTGTGTGGGCGGGAGCCAGAGCCGGGGCAGAGGCGGGGATGGGACAGTGTTGCTGAGGCCTCT